AATCCGAAAATACACTTCAGTTAAAAATTGTTGAATAAACATTAAATGTGATGGTTTTACATTAAATATGGTAGCATGAAGGACAAGAGTTTGATAAGTTATGATAGTTATTAGTAGCAGTTATGTTTATGTTTTTGTTTTAGAATTGTAAAAGTTGTTTGGGTCTATAAAAGACCAAGTGTGTAATTTATTTGATTAAAGAGCAATATACAAAATTTTATACAGAAGTCTGATTCGTTTCTAACAATTTGACATCAGAGCTCATGGAAAACATGATGAACCAAATGCCGTTGCCACGACTAACGAAGTCCAATTATGAAAACTGGAGTATCCAAATGAAAGCTCTTCTTGGATCTCTAGACGCGTGGGAGGTGACCCATGATGGGTTTGAAGAACCAACAGAAGTTGGGGGATTTACGGCGGCTCAAACGAAGGCATTGAAAGAGATGCGAGCGAAGGACAAAACAGCATTATACATGTTGTTCAGGGCTGTAGATGAATCAGGCTTCGAGAAGATTGATGGTTAGACCACGTCGAAACAAGCGTGGGACACGTTAGAAAAGTGTTTAAAGGAGCAGATCGAGTGAAGCAGGTTCGACTCCAAACTCTTCATGGCGAATTGGAGAGGATACAGATGAAGGGTACAAAAATTATATCTGATTACATCACACGTGTGCAAAAGGTGGTGAATAAACTTACTAGAAATTGAGAAACAGTAGTTGATGCAAGAGTTGTTGAAAAGATCTTGAGATCTTTAACACACAAGTTTGAAAATATAGTGTGTGCAATAGAAGAGTCGAAGGACCTTTCGACGCTCTCAATCGAAGAGCTCACTGGTTCGCTCGAAGCACATGAACAACGAAAGATGAAAAATAAAGAAGAAGCAGACGAAGAAGCAAACCAAACCAAGGAATCGAACAAAGACGAAAAGGTACTCTTTTCTCATAACTTTCGAGGAAGAGGACGTGGACGTGGAGGTCGTGATAGTGGTCGAAGTGGTAGAGGTAGCAACTTCGAAAGAGGACATTCGAGCCAACAAAATTGGCGTGGCAGAGGACGTGGTCAAAGAGGTGGTCGTTCGAATCATTCCAACTTCGAATGCTACAAGTGTGGGAAGTATGGTCATTACGCGAAGGATTTCAACTCCTACAAATGTTACAACTGTGACAAAGTGGGACATCTTGCAAAAGACTGTCGAATCGAAAAGAAGACTGAAGAAACAACCAATTTAGCCTTGGAAGCTGAATCGAATGAAGGCTTTCTCCTGATGGCTCAAAACGAAATCAACACCAATGACAGTGTTTGGTATCTTGACTCAGGAGCAAGTAATCACATGTGTGGTTACAAACACCTGTTTAAAGATATGAAGGGAATTAAAGATGGTAGTGTGTCTTTTGGAGATGCATCAAAAGTGAAGGTTAAAGGAAAGGGCACAATCAGTTACTTGCAGAAGGATGGCTTGATAGGATCAATCGAAGATGTTTACTATGTACAGGTCTTAAGACCAACATATTATGTCTGGGACAACTTACAGAAAAAGGTGCTTCGATACTGATGAAAGATCGAACACTGCAGTTGAAGGACAAAGCAGGATATCTGATTGCCGTTGTCGAAATGGAAAGAAATCGAATGTACAAACTGAACCTGAGGAACATTCGAGAGAAATGTTTGCAAATGGAAGTGCAAGACAAAGCGTCACTATGGCACATGCGCTTTGGTCATCTACATCATGCTGGTTTGAGAAGGTTGGCAAAAAGGAACATGGTGCATGGACTACCAGACATGGATTTCGAAGGAAAATTCTGTGAAGAATGTGTGCTCAGCAAACAAACAAGAACCTCATTTCAAAAGAAGGCAGAGTATCGAGCTAAACATATACTCGAACTGATACATACTGACATATGTGGGCCAATCACTCCAGAATCCTTCAGTGGAAAAAGGTACTTCATTTCCTTCATTGATGACTTCTCAAGAAAAACCTGGGTCTACTTCCTGAAAGAAAAATCTGAAGCATTAGAAGTATTCAAAAAGTTCAAAGTAATGGTAGAGAAGGCAACAGACAGACACATCAAAGCAATTCGATCTGACAGAGGAGGAGAGTATACTTCGATGGCCTTTGTGAAGTACTGTGAAGAACAGGGCATAAGGAGATTCCTAACTGCACCATATTCACCTCAGCAAAATGGTGTGGCTGAAAGGAAGAATCGAACTATTTTTGACATGGTTCGATCAATGCTCAAAAGCAAGAACATGTCGAAAGAATTCTGGGCAGAAGAAGTACAATATGCTGTTTATATTCAAAATAGATGTCCACATTCAAAGTTAGAAGACAAAACACCACAAGAAGCATGGAGTGGATAGAAGCCAACAATTTCTCATCTCAAGGTATTTGGTAGCATACTTATGCACATGTACCAGATCAACGAAGAACAAAGCTTGAAGATAAAAGTCAGAAGTACATATTCATTGGATATGATGAGAAGACGAAAGGGTACAAGCTCTTCAATCCCATAAGCAAGAAAGTGATAGTGAGCAGAGACGTTCGAATGAACGAAGCAAGCAAGTGGGACTGGAATAATTCGACAGAGGTTTCTGACATAGTCGAAGAAACAACTATAGCTATACCAACAAGTATTCCAGAAGAACATGAAGAAACAGAAGATGGAGATGAACCTCTACAACCCAAAATGAGAAGTTTGCAAGATTTATATGATTCAACAATTGAGGTGCATCTTGTGTGTCTTCTGGAAGATGCTGAAAATATCAGTGTCGAAGAAGCGTTAAGAGATAAGAAGTGGAAAAGTGCCATGGACGAAGAAATTAGAGCAATCGAACGCAACAATACTTGGGAGCTAGTTAAATTACCAAAAGGTAGTCAACCCATTGGTGTAAAGTGGGTATTCAAGAAAAAGATGAATGCTCAAGGAGAAATCGAAAGATTCAAAGCACGGCTGGTTGCGAAGGGATACAAACAGAAAACAGGAATTGACTGTGACGAAGTGTTTGCGCCTGTTGCAAGAATGGAGACAATTCGATTACTCATTTCACAAGCTGCTCAGTTCAAGTGGCCAATATTTCAAATGGATGTCAAGACAGCATTTTTGAATGGTGTGCTCGAAGAAGAAATCTATGTCGAACAACCACTTGGATATATGAGAACTGGAGAAGAGAAGAAGGTGTTGAAACTGAAGAAATCACTGTATGGGCTGAAGTAAGCACCTAGGGCATGGAACACACGTATTGACACATATTTCAAGGAGAATGGATTCGAGCAATGTCCTTATGAACCATCCTTCTATGTGAAGAAAAATGGAAGTAATCTATTACTTGTTGCACTCTATGTTGATGATCTTATTTTTCTAGGCAGTGATGTTCAGATGATCGAAGACTTCAAAAGCACCATGACAAGCGAATTCGAAATGACAGACTTAGGTCTGATGAGATTCTTTCTTGGTCTGGAGGTTCGACAAGAAGAAGCTGGAATTTTCATATCACAAGAAAAGTATGCAAAGGAGATCTTAGAAAAATATAAAATGAAGAATTGCAATCCAACTTCGACGCCAATGGAACCAGGTACAAAGCTGTCAAAGTTTGATGGAGGAGAACGGGTCGAAGGAAGCAAATATCGAAGCTTGGTAGGTAGCCTTCGATATCTCACATGCACAAGGCCAGACATTTCACTAAGTGTTGGCATAGTGAGTCGATTCATGGAGGAGCCAGTACACACACATTGGAAGGCGCTGAAATGAATTCTAAGATACATCCAAGGAACAGTATTACTTGGAATGTTTTATTCAAAGACAGAAGACTACAAGTTAGTTGGTTATTCTGACAGTGACTGGTGTGGAGACATAGACGATCGAAAGAGCACTGCTGGATATGTGTTTTTCATGGGAAACACAGCTTTTACTTGGCTATCGAAGAAGCAGCCTATAGTGACACTTTCGACGTGCGAAGCAGAATATGTGGCAGCATCCTGGTGCGTCTGTCATGCAGTATGGCTTAGAAGGTTGATAAGCAAGATGGAGCTGAAACAGGAAGATCCAACAATAATATAAGTGGACAATAAATCAGCTATCGAATTGGCAAAGAATCCAGTGAATCATGAACGAAGCAAACATATAGACGTTCGATTTCACTTCATTCGTGAGCATGTGAAGGAGGGAAGTGTCGAATTAAGGCATGTAGCAAGCAGAAACCAAGCAACGGATATCTTTACAAAACCACTATCAAAAGAAGTTTTCGACAGAGGCAAGAAGATGATAGGAATGCTGGATGGAAGAAACATTTAAGTTTACAGAGGAGTTTTGTTGAATAAACATTAAATGTGTTAGTTTTACATTAAATATGGTAGTAGGAAGGACAAGAGTTTGATAAGTTATGATAGTTATTAGTAGCAGTTATGTTTTTGTTTTTGTTTTAGAATTGTAAAAGTTGTTTGGGTCTATAAAAGACTAAGTGTGTAATTTATTTGATTAAAGAGCAATATACAAAATTTTATACAGAAGTCTGATTCGTTTCTAACAAAAATATAGTTGTTGTTAATATTTCCCCTAATGTTTTTGGACAGAACTATTCAATCTTAATGTTGTGGCCCTTGTTCATGCTCTACTTTATCTCCTTTCTTATTCATTTACATAAAGCAAAAGACTATGAAGCATGAGGACGCTGGCAGTTTGTCTTTTTCTTTACAATGTAACCCTTTTAATGGTCTAACACGTTTTCATATGTTCCCACATGTTGACTTTGTTTACAAGTCGTTTTAACTTTGTTTATTACCCTGTATAAAAGAATTAATACATTCTTCAACAACAGGCATCATATACTAAATTCTTAGCTGAGTTTAGAAAGTTTCATTTTCTTTCTTTCTTGTATATGTATAACACTCTTCAAATTTCCGTAAATTGAAAAAAATTTGTCATTCCATCATTTTCTTCTTTGAACCTCGTTCTATTATTTATTTCGTGTTGCAAAGCACGTAATCCAACAAAGAGAAGAAGATGAAGAAGCAGCTTGTGTGTGGTATGGCTGTAGTGATTGTGGCAATTTTGCTATTCGGGGAGGTGAGTTACAAGTTAGAGGCATTGAGTTGCAGCCCTATAGAGTTCAACCCTTGTTTTGTATCATTTACAAGTTCTTCTTTACCAACAAGTTATTGTTGCCAGAAACAAAGAGAGCAAAGACCATGTTTTTGTAGTTATATAAAAAATCCAAGTCTCAAACACTATATTCTCTCCCCTGGTGCTAGAAGGATTGCTATCTCTTGTGGGATTCCCGTCCCAACTTGTTAACCATCAATCACTTTTACTCTATATTTTTTGTTTTGTTTTGTTTTGGATCATTATGTATTTAGTGCAACAATTGCAGAGCCGATGGATCAAGATTTACTAAAGATAATTGAGTCCAATTCTTCATCTATAGCACATATATTGTTGCACCAAAACATAGGTGCAACACTCTCATATATTTACATATTTACACTAAGTTTCGTTACTTATGCTATACAATAAGAAACAGAGGTTGTGTTGTATTTACTATTAATGAGTCAACAATTTATTACGTTGTGAATTGTATTTTATCGTGATCATCATATTTTCATTCAAACTCTTTAATACTAGGTCTCTAAAAATTTATTAAGTTAATTAGTTTCATCAATAAGACACTTCATTATATTCTAACTTATGTCATATGAAAATTTAACTAGGGGGAAAAGAAGAAAGAGATTTTTTTTTTTAAGAAATTAAAATGAGATATATATTAACGTTCACATCTAACCAATTTAGTACAAGATGTATGAAAAAATAAGAAAGAATAAAAAATTATTATCCAAAAATACGAAAAACAACACAAAGCGTTCTACATAACAATTCATAAATAATTAAAGTGTTTAAACTTCGTGTTGTTGGGAGGAAATCACAAACGCAACGGAATAATTCAATAACACAATCTCTCCCAAATATCAAATGTAACGACAATCAACAAAACACATAAAACAACACAACACAATTTTAGTGTGGAAAAATCTCCATTAACTAAGAGTAAAAAATCACTAGATCTGTAGGTCACTTAAATCCTCCACTATAATCAACAATTGGTACAAATAAGATTCTCTCTAACACTAATTAGAGGCATGCATTAACATCATCAAGATTTGCAATCAATTTGGAATACGACAAGAATCAAGAGAGACAAAAAACCCCAAAAACACCAAGAAATTCTGATCTCAAAGATGGACTCAACAAACTGACTTAGAAAGCTCTGAATTCATTCACCGTCGTTCAGAATTTGCTGCTATGAGTCGTGAATGTTGTGTCAAAAGTTTAGGACGATTTGACTGTTGCATTTTGCGCAAGCTCCAATTTTCTGAGAATGATTTGTGCATAATTGAGGTTGTGGGAATAATGTGTTTTCTCTCTATCTTTTCTTGTAGTTTCTATCACACGGTGAATGAATAACCTAATTCTCTTTGTTGGGTAATAGCAAAGGCATAGACACACATGTGCCACTAAGCCACATCCATTGGGCCTCTCCAATTAGGAGGGATAACTCAACCCATATCTAGTAATCATAATCGAGAGTGACATATTTTGACTTGAACCACCAAAATGATTGAAACTTTACCCTTTTCGATAACACATGCAACTGCTCCGCTTTATTATGGAAAATACGTCTACTTGGCTCATTCCAAATAACCCAAACCACAGTGAACCAAATAGTGTTATAAGTCAACCAAACATTTTTCGAAAACCTACTAAGACCACTAGCCTACAAGAGATGATCCAAAACCTTTCCTTGAAATTCCATTGAGAACTCTTACCAATTAAAAATAATAGTCCCCAACCCACCGAAAAATCACATGTTACAAACAAATGATCTTTGTCTCCATCCACGCCACAATTCATCACACTTCTTTGATCATTTGTGGAAAGATTCTACTGCTTAGCCAGATTGTCCTTCATCATACTACAATTCATTAACAACCGTCAGACAAAAATAGATATCTTAAGCAGCACAGTCTTCAAACCCAAAAATTATGAGTTAGTATGATTGTTGTTGACGTCAATTTCAGACAAATTTTTATAAGCAATTATAATTGTGTAGTAAGAAGAGGGATATAAAGTACAAACCCAATGATCTTTTACTTTCACCTGCAAAACAACTTAGGTTAACCGCTCAATACACTCCCTCAGTAACTCCTCCTCCCTGTTGGAACTGGTTTTTAAATCAGAGTCGCCACCCTTAATTTTTATCCTAAGGAAGGGAGTATAAAGGAATAACCCTAAAGTTTAGAGATTCTAGATTTGGACTCGGTTCTAGACGAGGGGAAGGTATTAGGAACCCATTATCTACCTTGTTCACAAGGATACTAGGTTTAGAAGCGTAACTTTCAGGAAAAAGATTTTAATATTTTTTAGGGGAACTCGCCACGATTTTAATCGTATGTCTACGTATCCTCTTAGGATGAATCAAAGTCCCATTTCATAGTTCGCAAATGGTTTGTGTTTTTTATGGATTATAAAGTGTGATACGGTGGCAGAACCGACTGTTAATACTGGTTTGTGTTTTTTATTCACAAAATGTCACGGTAAGCAAGAGTCGCCACCGATTTTTTTTATCCAATCAGGAAAAACAAAAAGAACAGGAAAAAACCTTTTTCGAGATGTTTCTGAGTACGTGGGGTAGATTATAGAAAGGGAAGGTGTTAGAACTCTTTCCATCCATGGTTTTCCATGGGCTCTTAGGTACTTGCTCATTTTGAAAATTGCTTGTGTGTGCTTGTTTTGAAAAGTTTTGTTTTACTTTGTTTTAACCCTTGTTTTTGTCCTCAAGAGTGTTACGAAGTGTTTTGAAAACTTTAGTTTGAAAAGTTTGTTTGAAAGTGAATGGTGTAAAAGATTTGTCGTTTTGAGCAAGTACCTAACAGTTATCTACCTACTCGAAAAAAGGCGTTCTTTTCCCCCTATCCTTTAGACCGTGTTATCCTACTATTAGTGAGTAGGTAACCCTAGTCGTTGGATGTTTGAGGGACTATCGAAAGGGACGTAATAGTCATTGAAGGTAACATGTAAGGATACCTTAGCATTTCGAAGGGACTGTCATCATATATTCGTAGGCAATATCGAGGGACAAGATCATTTCTCGTAGGCAACTCGAGGGACGTTAAGGGGCTATGATCTTTATGATGACTTTTAAATTGAGGGTCTTTTTCTAAGATATCCCTACGTTCGAGGGACATGACCATTTTTTTCTGAGGCAACCCAGTGGGGAGTACCCTAGGGGTGCAAGTGTGCAACAATGTGTTTTTTCAGTTAATTTATCTTTTCACATTTAGGGTTTTCTACCGTATTAATTTTCAGTTTGTCTTTCCATACAATCCTATTAACATACATCTAAGCAGTTTATAGTTTGCGAAAATAAAATGCGGAAAGTTTAAAGTCCTAGTTATTACAAGGATTTTACAGATACATAATTATTTTGGACTGAAAATAAAGATGTGGAATTTAAAACCCTAATTACTATTACAAACTCAGAGCAGTTACAATAATAATAAAAAAGAAAATAAAAAATGTGCGCGGCGAATTAAATGCGAGAATGAATTGAGAAACCTAAAAAATATAGTTGAAAAAAATATTTAGGTTATTTTTTAAGAAAAAATTAATTAGGTTATATACAAAATTAAACCCCTAATTTCTAATTATTTTTAATTATGAAAAATAAGATTTAATTGCCCTAATTTAATTAAACTAATTAATTAAGGAAATAAAATATTTGTATGAAGAAAAAAATGATTTTTATGTTTTTTTGTGATTTTTTGATTTAATGATAAAAAATGATTTTTGTGTTATTTGTAAAAAGAAAATAATTAATGAATAATTAAAAAAGGAAAATAAAGAGTAAAGAATTAAAGAGTTGGGTCTGTGTTATAAGATGAATGGGGGGTGTGGCACTGAATTTGTTAGGTCCATTCCTTGCTCAGCCCAGTCAACGCGCTAGATCCAATGTGATACTATTTCTGATGGTCCATGGTGTGACTTAAGCGTTGGGCGTTGGATCTGGATTGATGATGAAATCAATGACTGTATGGTTGGATGTATGATAGACGACTGGCAACACAATATACATAACCTGCAATTAAATGTTAAGAAAAATAGAGAAAACGATGGGATGGTTAGTTGTAAATATAATAACATAAATAAAATATAAAGGAAATAAAATAAAATTCAAATAACCCTATAGGATTCTGCCACCTAATTGTCTTCTTCCCCATAACTGTTATTTTTGGCCACACTTTTACCTACAGTCATTTCCGTCACTAAAAGCTATAGTGACAGATTTTGTTTGTAGCCATAAACCTGTAAAATTCAAAAGCGCAGCACAAGCAGAATAAATTCAAACCAAAGACATGGATCAATTGCAAATCATCTTCTAAGCATGATAGTACCCCTGATTTTGTCCAATTTTTCCTCTATATGGAATTCCCAATTTGGGACCTCAAAACCCTAACAATGGCATCGTGTCATTCATGCACTTAAACTTCAATCAAACCAATCAAAAACATTGCAAATATGATAGCAAGCATGGATATATGATCAAAACATGTTTATGATGGATAAATTATTGAAAACGAATCTTGAAAAAATATGCAAACCGTGGCACGGTGAGGCATGATTTCTGAAGGTTTTAAGGCTGGAGGACGATTGGAATAGCTTCAAGAAATGTCCAGGAATGGATTGTTGGCATTGGAATTACTGGAATCAGTCTATGGAGGAATATGTGATCAGCACTTTTTTTGACAAAAAAATTTGAAGTTGACTCCTTTATTTTCATGACCAAGAACCCTTTTTATGCTTTGGAAATGTTGTGTATATATCATAGAATGATTTAGGTCAACAAAAACTGATCATATCTTTGCAAATTATGGAGATTTGATTTCATTCTTTGCCTCGTATGATTTGTTTCCAAAATAGACCAAATTAAGATCTTTTCCAATCAATTATCTCTTTCACGAATTTTTTGATTTGCTAGCTGTTCATGGACTCATAATATGCTCATAAAATCAAATCTTTGATTTTATTTGATTATACTACTATTTAAATTGATTTATTTGATTTAAATGGATAAAAAATCAAAATAAATAATAAAAATAATAAAATAATAGGTGGATAAGCTCATGGGTCGTGGGCCATCTTAGTAACAAGTTTCAAACAAGAAAACATGGGCCCATTTGGAAAAAAAAGTCATTTTGATCATTGTTGACTTCATGCACATTTCCAAAAATTGGTCAACTTTG